CCAGGAAGGCACTGGCATCAGTGGAATCCATCACTGCCTCAGTACCTGAGGCAGAGACCAGGGGTAAGAGCTGGGTGGAATGGCCAAGGTGAAGCTGGAAAGGCAAGAAGCCTGTACTGTTATTAATGGTGTTCATAATGTGGAAACATACTCGAGGCAGGGCCTTGACCCAGCCTTTCTGCTTGCACTCAACATGGAAGAGGACACATTGATTAATGGTCTTGTTGGTATGCTCACTGGCCCCATCTGTCTGTGGATGGTATGATGATGACATCTTGATTTTCACACCTGTTAACTTGTGAAGGGCTCTCCAAAAGCAAGATACAAAGAGCTTATCACAGTGGAAAACAATCTCCAAGGGAAGACCATTCTCACAGTACCAATGATCAAAGAAGAGGGCTGCGAACTTGGCAGCCAAGATGGAACTGTGGCAAGGGACATGCTGCATGTCAGCCCTGAGATGGTCCATCATTGTAACAATCATATTAAACCTGCAATCTTCTGGTAAGGGACCTATAAAGTTGATGGCTACTGAATCTCTGTGAGCATCTGGCACTGGTAAAGGATGGAGGGGACCAGCAGGCACTGTGGTAGGAGACTTGTTGTGCATGCAATGGGTGCAGGCAGGGATGTATGTAGCTGCAAGGTCATGATGCATGTTAGGCCAGTAAAAGGAATTCCGTAGTGCCACATAGGTCTTATTGGTGCCAAAGTGGCCCAAGGTGTCATGAGTGAGATGGAAGAAGCATTCACGAAGCGAGTGTATGTGTGGAACCACCAGATGGCCTGCAAGATACAGCAAGCCATCCCATTCCTGAAGACCAGGGAGTGAGTCAAGGAGAGAGGAGAGTTTTCTACAGAAAGGGTCCTCCATGTATCCTTTCAAGATCTCTACTGTCAACAACTTGTCCACCTCAACAGTCAACCCCACAGCAACTGGAGGAGCATTGTCTATGTGGTGGGACAATGCATCAGCACCAATGTTACATTCACCCTGGACATAAGGAATAGTTAGGTCGAACTGGGACATATACTCCTGCCAGCAAGCTTGCTGTCAGGAGAGATCATGTTGTGTGGCGAAGTTCTGAAGCATACAGTGATCTGTGTACACCAAAACTGGGGCACTGAGTAACTCAATCCACCACTTCTTCAAGGCACAGATGATGGCGAGAAGTTCTTTCTCATGCACTGGATAGTTGAGTTCAGCACTGTGCAATGGGGTGGAATCAAAGGCAACCTGCCAAGCAGACTCCCAAGTTGATCCCCAGGAGAGGATCACCCCAGTATGGAAGTCTGATGCATCACATGTAAGGAAGATGTGCTTGTCACCTGGATTATCGTGGTCAATAGTTGTCAAGCAATGAGGGCTGACCACAAGGTCCTTAACAGCCTGGAAGGCCCGCTGATAATCTTCAGTACAGGCAGGAAACTTGAGCTTGGCAGCCTTTGTTGTCAATGTGTTCAAGACCCAAGTGTGTTCTGCAAGGTTGGGAAGATGATCTCAACATAACAAACCAGACCTAGGAAGGCATGCATGTCAGTAACTGATTGAGGAACCAGCCAGTCAAGAATCCTTGCAATTTTGGAGGAGTCTGGCTCAATTCCTTGAGCAGATACACAGTGACCAAGGAAGAGCACATCAGAGCAGAACAGCTGTGTCTTTTTGAGGGAACAGAACAACTTAGCATCATGAAGGGCCTGGAGAACCATACAAATGTTGCACTCATGTTCCTCGAGCATCTGTGACCAGATAATAATGTCATCAAGATAGACATGACAGATGCATCCAATTAGATGGCAAAGGGCAGCAGACATACAGCATTGTGTCCAGCTTAGCAAAGTACCTGCCTTTGGCACAATTGCGAAGAATCTCATCAATGTGAGGCAATGGGTGATTATCAGGGACAGTGTTCAGATTGAGTTGCTGAAAATCATTCACCCAGCACGGTAAGACTGTAGGGTCTGCCTTCAGAATGATGAATGTGGGTGAGGAGTGTGTGCTGTTGCAAGGTCGCAAATGCCCTGCATCAAGGTGCTGTTGCAGTAAGGTCTTCCAAGCCTCACAGGACTTTTTTGGACAGCCATATGACCGAAGCTGAATCACCTTGTTAGCATCCTTGGGTTGTATGCAGAAGAGGACATCATCAGGCAGCACATCAATGGGCAGGATGTCCACAGGGAAGCAATCAGCAAACTCGACCTTGAGCTGCACATTGCGCTTTGTCAGCTCTTCAGCTGCAGTGAGGACCTCAATGCAGTGTTGCACCACACCAATTACATCTGCCCCACAAACTGCGGTAGATGCTACCTCTGCAATTTCACAATACCTTGGTAAGACACCTTGTAACTCTGTAAGAACATCACCCTTGATCTTCTTAACAGTCTGAACTGAAGGAGTCACTGGTGGCAGAGGTGAACACACAGAATCTGGGGGGTTCATTAAGTTGTAGCCAGTATCCTTACCAATACAAGTATGGAGAGCATGATCAATAACAAAGTTATTATGAGAGAGAAATGGAAGACCCAACAAGAGTGGGGTACACAGCCTGGGTGCAATGATGGTGCAAACAGAGTGTGAGCAAAAATGTGAATCAGGAGAGAGGCAGGACAGAGTAACATAATTTCCCAATGACATGACCTCCCTGTTGCCAGAAGAGAGGGCAACTGAGACATTAAGGGACTTATGCAACTGGCGATGTTGTAGACCAAGTCTCGTGACAAGAGACTCATCAATCAGTACTAGATGAGAGCCACTGTCAATAAGCACTTTTACAGGGAGGGGGAAGGTTAAATTGGGTCCTTCAAGAAGACAGGACCAGTGAAGGTGGGGAACAGAGAGGGGGGTGATGTACTCTTCACCTGAGTCCATTCCATCCCCAAGGGCAGCAGAGGGCATAACGACAGTGATGGTTTCCATATCATCCTCCTCTGTGATATGGGAACACTTCAAGGCTGGCTCATCTTCAATGACCACCATGACAGGCTTTGCGCACTTCCTGTGAGCAGCTTTGACATTGGCAGCCATCAATGCCTTATAGTTCTTCACATCTGGGAAATCATTTGGACAGTCTTGTGTGATATGGTTCTGAAAGGGGTGATGACACTTGAAACAGCCTGAATTGTCATGAAGTGGCTGACATTCTTCAACAGTAAGGGCAGGTGGACATGTACAAGTATGACCATCAGGTGCCTTCGAGCTCAATGCTGTAGTATTAGCTGAGTGGCTTGACTGGAATGGTTTCTTTTGGAGGGCAGCATCGAGTTTCACCACATCATGAACACACTTCTCATCAAGGAGATGCTGTAGTATTAGCTGAGTGGCTTGACTGGAATGGTTTCTTTCAGAGGGCAGCATCAAGTTTCACCACATCATGAACATGCTTCTCATCAAGGAGGTGGACCAAGTCAAGCCAAGCTCAGAACTGCTTCTTGCAGTGGGAACTCATCAAATGATATTCTGCAGTAAGATCAGGATGTGTGTGAGACTCTAAATGGAAGTGGAGGTGGTCTTCAGTGAGAGGAAACTCACTTCCTCACAATAGTACATTCAGGCTCTCCACTTTGATGGCCCACAAGTGAAAGGCCTTATTACCCTGCATTGATGACAGCATCTTTTGTTGGATAGCCTCTGCCCAGTCACTAGGAAGCCAATATGTATGAACCTCCTCCATAAACTCTGAGAAGGTGAGAGCAGTCATATGACTGCCATTGTTGCTGATCCAGTCCTGTACATGGGGATCCAACAGATGACCAACAACCTTAGATACCTGGATGTCCTCTGCAATGCTTTTTAATTGGAAATAATTTTCACAACCTAGCTCCCAGCTTTGCAACCCTTCTGGGGTAATATCACCCACTGTCAAGAAGGGAGGAGTCTTGCCAGGAGTAGTGTTCTCACATCACACCATCTGGGACTGTGCCATGGACATCACTACAGTAGGAAGGACTGCAGTGAAACTGTCAGATGATGAGGAGCTGCTCATGGTAGTGGGAGATGGCAGTAGTAGGGAGATATGTGACAGAGCAGAGGGTGAAGATGGGGTGACATCAGGCAAGGCAACAAGTGGTGGCATAGGTGGTGGGTCAGGCAAGGTAACAGACAGTGGGGACAGCAAAGATGGAGATGACAACAGCAGTGATGACAACAATGTCACAGGCAGAGGGTTATTCCCTTGACTATGGGTAGTCAAGGGCACAGGGACAGAGGGGACACAATGAGACAACAGTTTGACACCTCTGCTAGGCATCAACACATGCTATGGCACATTCAAAAAAAGTGGAACTCACCATGGAGGGGTGAGCACACTCAAACAGATCACAACAACAACAGAACATGGACAGGCATGTGGATTTGAGCAATCAAGCATATATGCTGATACAAGATGATGGACAGAGAGAGAGAAAGGAAAGAAAGAGACATGATCCCTCCATGACGCAGACAGCACCAGTATATATATCCCCCAGTGTCCAAACAACGCAACACAGCAAGAGGGATCTGCATGCCCAGACAAGAGTGCGATAGGAGATGTGATAGTGTGACATGCTAGCAGCAGCATTGACAGCGTGAGTGGCATGTTAGTGGTGAGCGGTACACTTACAGCTCAGACGGCTGTGGGATGCGGGTGTACCATAACTAGTATGGTCTCCATGCCTAAATGGCATGATCTTTGCATGCATGGTCGGTCCTGACGGAATGTGGAGGACGCAGAGGTGCTCTCACCTGTGTGTAGACGGAGTTGGACCATGGGTGCGCTCGTCCCATCGATGACTTCAGTGACCTAGACAGGATGGCGTCAGTGGCTGTTAAAAGTGAGATCGTGGAGCCTTGTCAGTTAATTTAGCACTTGCGTCGTTGCGGTCGTCATCGTCATCATCGACGGGAGGCAAGTTTGTCGGACTGGGTAGAGTTCCAAAACGGGCTGAACAGGCGTCCGCACACCTCCAACCGTGTCCACCCCGTCGCCATCGTCCTCAGCGACACGCTACTAACAAATCTCCAAATGGGCCGTCCAACTGGGCCACGACACCCGCCAGACAAAAGACACGAAGCATACGAGTCCATATTCGGGAGACCATCCACCTCGCACCATCTGCTTCCCCAGCATGGCCAGTACTACCACCCACCGCACCCGTCTGTCTATCATCAGCCAGGGTATCAGCCAGCAGACAAGCGCACGTCCCACGCAGCCTCGATTCGCTCGCAGCAGAGCTACTACAGCCAGCCAAGACAGTCTCAACAATACCAACACCCCTCATATCACCATCATCACCCGCAGTACCTTCCTCAACACCCCGGCCACGCCCTCGTTCCACCTTCAACGCATGGCCGGGCCCCATCCGTCGTCAGCTCCCCCCACAATGCAGCTGGTATCATCGCTCCAAGGCCAGGCGACCCACCCAACCCCGACCTCGATGCACTCACGAGGGCAGGACTCACCCCTGCACGGGCTTATCTGCGGGCCAAGGTCAATATTCTGCTCTTCCTCCCACAACGGTCCCGCGCAACGGTGCACCCCTCGGAAAAGAGATCGGTCGCTTGGGTCCCAATTTCGCCTCTCAGGGCGACCCTCACGACAGCTTATCGTTTAACGAGCCTCGTATCAAACTCCCGTAGTCACAACTGACTCCAGAACACTCACGTGCATGTGCAATGTCCATCACATCTATATCTGGTTGGCGACGTGATATACTAACAATAACCGAAGGTTGGTTGATGTAACCAGCTCAATCTCCTCAAACCACGCACGAACCAGGGGCTCCCGAAGGGTAGATTTAGCAGCTACAATGCACTCATCGGGCAGGAGATGGTGACACGCGACCACGGGGCGGCGCAACAGATTCACCTCTAATATTTCTGGGCTGAACATAGATCTACACGCAGTCCGCTTGATCGCATCAAGAGAATACTTCTTGGCTGCCTCGAGAACGCCAACGACCTCTTGAAATTCTCGAGCTTGGGATCCTCTGTTACAGTGCAAGGATAACAAAAACGGAGCGGCGAGTCTAGTGTGCTGGAACACCGGCATTGGACACTACGGTCGAGCTAGTCTCCTCAGACAGTCGGGAAGCGTTGATAAGGGTGTCGAAGACCGGTGATGCAAGGGCGAGGAAGAGCCTGAAGCCACGAATGTCAGTGCCGCCAGGTAAGCACAAGATCGCGTCTGCCCTTCACGTAGTTGAAGGGAGTTAGGCGGTCACAGGGGTGTCTGGTGTATCGGACGTGCTATGTTGCGACAGCTAGAGCATTCCGTAGTGTTGTATCCATCTGGGTAATGGGTAAAACAAACACGAACCTGAAGTGTGGTGCGAAAACTTGACTGCCTTCGTTCCTCATATTAGAGGCCTTTATAGATCAATCAAGGTGTACATATGTGCCGATTTCGAGGTGTCGATCCGAACGAAACTGATCCCGCTATCATTCCTTTCATCATTCCGGTTCCTCTTTTCGCAGGTACATGTACAGAAGAAAGGGTTGGATGCGTAAAATTGGTGCATATGATACCAGATGTACGGTTCATCGGTGTTTTGCGAGTGAAAATTCAAAACGCACCTTGCCGAACATACCAGGATGAACAATATCTGGCATGGGTGCCATTGACGTAAAATAATAACTTTGAAATGGAGCAGCCACAGCTAGCCTTTATCCCGAGAATCTGGGTGTGACCGCCTTTTCCTTTGAGGGCAGGGTCGGGAGGATTGTTGATGGGTGACGACCCGTTCCTGCATTTGAACAGGCAAAAAAAAAAAACCTGACAGTTTGGGCAAATCACCAGGTCCGGGCGGATGGAAGGTATAGGGATGGCCGTTGACAGCGACGGGCGTCGAGAGGAATGTCCTGAAAGTGGAACAGGAACGTTTTGATCCTGATAGAGGGGTCTGCGCGCGGTCCTTGAGTTAGTGTATGCCCTCCATGATAGAAAGGAAACCGGTCTCATACCTCGGAACTGCAAATAGCCGTGACGAGGCATGTGCAGCAGTGCCACTGTCGAAGGAGAAATCGACTGTCAGTCACAAGTTTAATACATCGACCCCAGCCTCCGCTGTCAAGTGACGTACTTGACCATTGCAAGCACCATCTCGCAAGCGAGATTCTGAAATAATTACTGTAGTTATGTGGTAACCTGCAGGAATATGAGTGACGAGGGAATGAAACCAGAAGAATCCCTGGAGTGAAAGCCAGATCACCCATACTTATGCCTCTGACTCAGTGGCAGAGTAATAAGCAATCAATGAATTCAGGAATAAATCGATGAGCAGCGTTTTCCTTCCCTACAGACTCATTACTGACACCTGTTCTGAGCAAGGTACAACCCCGTATGCTTGCCAATGTGACCCCAACATATTAATTCCGAATAGTAGGGACGAAGTTTATATTCACAGGTCAGGCAGACTAATATCCTACATGCTTACCGATTGATATGTTTAGTCCAGTGAGGCAGAGCCGAGAATATGCTAACGCTCTGCGGCTGTGTCACAGACTAGGAACCTTCAACAACAGACCAAAGCGTATCTCAGATGTCAGAACTTCAGGTCCAGCTCGACCCGATGCATAGTTGACAGGTTAAATCACATCTTTGGGTATCATTGCAGAGAGGCTCACCATTGAAGTCAGTTCTTCAAAATTATTTGTAAGCAGACTACCGGAATCTCGCATAGTTACTAGTACCATGGGAGCACAGTATCTGTAGGTCGATACGCGGCCGTTGATTTTTGAGGATTTTGGTGATTCTGCAAAAACAGCAATATTGCAGGATGAAATAGACATTATTGCAATGTCGCACGTGTTTCACCACCAACAGCATAGGAGCGAGAATCCTTGTGCAAAATTCCCAGCAAAAACAAAAACGACCAGCAAGAGCTTGCGATGGGGATGACAACGATGACAGCCACTCATCCGGAAACCGGAAATGTCCACGCACTGCTTTTGAAAGCTATACTCCAGCCATGGCAATGTGAAAGCGGGTGAGTCGTGTGAGTCGGACATGTTATAGACCCACAGCTAGAGTGTCACGCCCTGTCAGACTGGGTTAAGTAATGGGGAAATTCCTCCACGTAACAGAGATACTGTGCGAAAGCTCGACAGCTTTCATCACTCGCAGCAGATATCACCTTTATAGGTAGACAAACGTGAACGCGTGCCCCGATTCAGAGCCATGACCAGAGCGGGAAAAACTATGATACCATATTCTCCGCTTCCTTCGATTCCGGTTTTCGTCGTTGCGTGCCTAAACGGGAAAACGACGGACGAACAACGATTTGAATTCGCAAAATAATGGGTGCAGTTCATGGACAACGGATGTCTACGAATAAAAATCAGCTAGTATCTGAAGACCTCGCGTAAGACGTAACACACAGTCGAGGCTAGATCCCAACGCACGCACCCTGGAATTATATCTGCCGCGGGTCCCATCGGCATCAAGATTAGCACTTTGTGACCAACCGAGGGTAGTAAGAAGATGCTGCATCCAACAGCCATTTTTCCTTGACAAATGTCGGTTTGATGACCACTTCTCCAATCGAGGCATGGCCAACAGGTTTATTGATGGACGATGGTCCTTTTCCGAACAGCGACAGGAGAGTTCGAGCAAGCCGGTGGACTGGGGGAGTGCGGAGGCTGGATGAGCACCGTTCCGCTGCCGACATATGGAGTGCACAGACTTTGGGCATGAATTCTTCCGTTGCAGGAAATATACAGAGCACACGTGCAGGAGAGGAAGAGAAGAGGAGCTATTGCTGATCTTGATGAGAGGAAATCAGTTAAGCTGAACTTGCTGGCCACGAAGTACAGTACTTACATATTTGGATGCCGAAGTATGTAGAATTGTCGCACGTGATTATTTTCAGATGCGCTCTGCGTGGGAGGATTGTTATCATCATTGTAGCTCAGCAGAGGGTCAAGAGCACACGCGCCTTGTAATATCTCTATCGAACAAATTGACCATCCTGCACATTTCCCTCTCGTTTCGTTAGATCAACCTAGTGATCGTGGCACTCGAGACCTCACATTAAGTGTGTGACATTGGGATCGTTGCAGGGTGGACTTACTCATCGATTACAGTTACACTATGCGACTTCTTGACGCTGATGCTCTACTCTGCATTGAGACAAGTATCGACAAAGGGGAGAGGGTTGACCCTACAACTAAAATCCTCGCTGAGCTCCATGGCAATGCCTTCATAGAAAAGGGATATGCCATACTGTCGCATTGCTGGGGCGAGGTAGACCAAGAAGTGTCTTTCAAGGAGGTGAAGAAGTTCTTGAGTATGACCCAGGAGAAGAGGAATGAGATCAGGGAGCGCCCTGGATACCAGAAAATCATCCTTACCTGCAGGCAAGCACAAGAGGACGGCTTGAAATGGGTGTGGGTCGACACATGCTGCATCAATAAAGACAGTAGCGCTGAACTGTCAGAAGCAATCAACTCGATGTACCAGTGGTATGAAAGTGCAGAAGTGTGTTATGCCTACCTCCACGACACTGTTGGGGACTGGACGAACCAAGGAGAATCGATGCTCATTCCAAGGTGGTTCTCGCGAGGCTGGACACTGCAAGAACTTATCGCACCCAAGGTTGTCTACTTCTTCGATCGGAGGACCGATCGTACTCGCTATTGGGGCTCCTCAAAGTGCACATGCCGATGTTGTATGGAGAAGGGAAGAATGCGTTTCGTCGTTTGCAGCTCGAAATCACTCGCACATCTAACGATCAGAGCATCTTTGCTTGGGGCCACTCGAGGGAATTTGGATGGTCCAATAACTTCTTGGCGGATGATCCAAGCTACTTCAGTGATTGCGGTGATGTCGAGTTGTTGTCACCCGACGAGATCATCAAGGACCTCGAGGAAGACATCCCTAAAGAAGAACTCAGCAAAACTCCCGCAGAACGATTTCGCACGTTTACTGTGACTAATGACGGCATACAAATGTGGCTACCCACCACATCCTTCGGGCCACTTTCCGAGGTCAAGTTGGCATGCCGCACCAAATACGGCGGGGAGATAACCATACGCCTGGCGCTTTTCGGATCCACCTCTCTCAGAATTTTTGCCATTCCATACATCCGTAGATCTGGGAAGCTAGAACTCAAGCAGCACTTCCTTCCATATAAAGCAGCCAAGTACCCGACTACATACACTTTCGAATTGCGTGAAGAGGCACTTTTCCATTGTGGCTTCGTCCGGGACCGTGTCCTGCCTGATGGCATAGAAGTAAGAGGAAATCAAGTTGCCCTCTCGAAAGACAAGGATCTTGCTGCCATTGCTTACATCCGCAGGAAAGACAAAACTCGCTTTTTAGTCCTTCTCAGATATTGTGCCGGGCGCCACTCTGCATTTGCCACCTTGTGTCCAGAGAATTTGGAATGCAAGATGGCATTCTTGCGGTTTCAAGCCTTGGAGATACTGTTCAACAGTCAGCTGAAGAACCCCAGAAAATTTACCCGGCATATCCACCTTCGTCGATCTATTGAAGATGTCTCTGTTATGGTTAATAATGATTGGAGGGTGGAGGCTTGTATCGTTGCGATCAATATAACCAATTGTCCTGGCATGCTTGGGTCCCAAGTACATCATGTGAGTGTGCTTTCTGTATTGGGACCCCCCTCTGTGCATTACTTAATAACACATACATTTTTGCAGCCCAATAAACTGACTGATCAACAATGTCTAGAACATGGCGAAGTCATGGAGATGCTCCAGGCGATAATGTAGGTGCAATGCTTGTTCAAGTTGGTAGTGCTGATACTTATATTACCTGATTATGTAGACATAACTTCTCAGTTTTAGTTGGATGGGTAAGTCTCCTATTAATTCCTTTTCACATCTGGTCAGTTTGTGGCTCATGAATGTCTCCTAGACAGAGTTGTATAAGCCAGGGCATTCAAGTGGGGTAGTGACCTGTGGGGCTGCCATTAAATTCTTTTTGGGCATATTTGGTGGCAGTGACTTCAATGATTTTGTGGGCCTTTACTTCCTGTTCATATTGACCTCCTGAGATTCTGACCTTGTTCTATCCACTCAGATTGGGGAGATAGCTTTCTTTAATGAAATACCCTTCACAATGGGGGCAGGAATCTATGGTGAGCCCTGCACAGAAGCAAATGCCATGTGCTCATTTGCAATGAACCCAGAGCCTTTGGGTAGCACCTCTACTGTGGTGCCATGGAAGCTACACATTCAAGCACTGGTCAATTTCTTGATGCAGTTTGATGATCGGAGGGTTAGATTCAACCTAGGAACAGACTCTGACTCAAAGTTCAGCAACCATCCATCCCTTTGCCATATGAAATTGTGGGAGAAGGCAACAGAGTTGAGGTTGGCACCCTTTTCTGCAGAGGCAAGTCCATTCCTATTCATTAATTTGAGTGACTCTTGTTCATTACGAGGTGCGAAGATTCTTCAGGTCATTGCTACCACCTACAGTGACTGGAAACCTGGGTAAGGATAACATTTATCAACTTACAGTGTAGCTCACTGCCAATTAGCTCTTGCAGGTTGGGCACAAAGTTTGATAGGTCCTCATCATTTACCTTGTTCAGTGGCATACTATGCTGATGACTGACCTTCTTCAGGCAGAAATTTCTCTCTGGGGTAGAACAAGTCTGGACACTCCGAAAGACACTTGATAGAACAATAAATGACTTTGAAAGGCAGGCACTGGTGGAAGATATTGCTGGAAAGGTGGCATTTCAGCAACTGTTGTTGTTGGCTGGCTGGCTGAAGGCATGTGCACATCAGATCTTACTAATATGCTGGTGTGGAGTCACTTCTGAAATTGTGCAAGTGTTGAGAGAAGCATGTCAATTCTCTTGTCCCCTGATGCTGGCTGACATTGGTTGGAAGGTTGCTGATCAGTATGTGAAGCAAGGAAAACAGAAGGTTTGAGCCACTCTGCCACAATAACCAAGTTGGTAATCACTTCCACTAGGTTTCCACTTTTGGAAGGGTTTTTAGGGAAGTGACTAATTATGTCCCAGATCATGGTCCAGTGAGCCCACTCCAGCAGTATGTGTTCTCATGTGTTGTAATTATTTGATAGCTCACTGGATTTCTTGCTAATCCAGAATGATGAATGATGCAGCACATGGTATCTCAAAGCATCAGTTATCACTCAATAAACAGGCTGAGTGGCTGGGGGCCACCCAGGATAGCAGGGTTCCCTGGGATATGTTCATTCCCCTCATTTCAAGAACCTTTGGCTGACAAGGGGTAATTCAAGCAAGTGGTTAAACTTGGGTGAAGGGATGTTGTATGTACTACTCCCCTGGTAATACACATGAGATGGAAGTTGGCAGCATGCTGCAGCATAACAGGGGATATGTGCACACTGGTGAAACAAGACTGAGGAATGGGATTAGGATAAACTTGCTGGTCATATGTGGTAAAGCAGGTCTAGAAAACCATCACAGCATGATGGACAAATATACTAGGATGAAAACCCACAATCTGAAGACTGAAGGGTCTCCTGCAGACAGACAAAGCCCACATACTTGTCAGCCATAAGTGTTGCAATAAGGATTCAGTGGACCATGGCAGGTCTCCACAACACCCTGTCATCATTTTCAACAAATGAATTTTACATCAGAAGAGTATTACAGAAATCACAGTGCCATCATTCAGATTGTGAAGCTTGGAAAAAGGTGGAATCACTTCAGTTCAGGGTGGTTTGGACAGGATGCAGGAAAGGTTTTGTCAGTGCTGCCAGGGTGAATCTTGAATGATCAACTCCTAGCCAGAACTGATGTTCTGAACCAAGAATGACAATACTTTCTTGAGAAGGTCTCTATACATCTATTACCCAACAAACAATCAACAGTTCCTCCCTCTTGCACCACATACCTATGATGGAAATGGTATCAATCAATCTTTGGGTGCCAATAGCATGATGAGTGTGAGAAAACAGTGGACAAATCAGGGAAGTCCTCACCTATCAACAACTTTAGTTTTGGACATTTCGGGACAGTGCTCATAACTGTGTATGAAGTGAAGGCTGATATATTGGTGGTCGAGGACTGCCACAGATGTGCAGTAGGAGAAAATTATGAAGTAGCAGATCCATTCTGACAACCCACTGTAGTAGTCATTGGAATGTCCAAGGAGGACCAACCACCCATGATGACAGCCCAGCTTTGCAAAACACCATGGCCCACATGGTTTAGCATAGTTGCTTTAGGTGTATGTTTAGCCTCACAGGACTAATTGGATGATGCAGAGTCTTTGCATTTCCTTCCTCATGCAGCTGGGATGATGTACTCCAATGACTGTGGGATGTGGGTGTACTGTCACTAGTATGGCCTCCATGCCTAAATGGCATGATCTTTGCATGCATGGTTGGTCCTGACAGAATGCAGAGGATGGAGAGGGTCTCCCACCCATGTGTAGATGGACACTGTAAAAAGTAAAATCACAAAATAAATGTCTAAATCACTTCTATTAAATGTTGGAACAGCTGAAGATCAGTATCTGTCATTGAATTTCAGCATCATAATGTGACGCTGAAGTGCCCATCCAGTCTAGTAAAAAATAGTGTCTTTGTCACTGAAAAAAAACATTATAAGTACTGAATAACAGTGCCTTGTAGTTGTTTTTCCATGTCATGACACTGTAATAAGTTGATGCAAGTGCTCATTTTCCACTTCACTAGCACAGATTTTTGTACTTACATACATCCCACTTGCCATGGAAATAACCAGGAAAATCACAAAATTGCGATTTCAAATGCTACCTGAGGTTACAGAGACACCTACAGCACAGTCATATAACAGGGTATTCCATGAAAGTGTCAGTAATCTGTCACAAGTCCAGCAGGAGCTAACAAGACTGAGCAACACAGTAGTGATAGAAATGAAAACAGTCTGGCAAAAGTGATTGAAATTCGAGGAGGAGCAACTGGCAGTGCAATGATAGCCAAATGAGAGTGGTCAAGCAGCAGTGATTGAAAATGTGTGAGGGAGGAGGATTTAGATGTGGACCTAATGTTTTGATCATGCACTTTGGGGTGTACATTGAGCCTGTGTCTGAATTATTGCAGGATTGACCTTGTTAGCAAGCCAACCAAGAGGTAAGAGAGTGGGTTTACCACCACTGCAGTATCCCCAGCCTGAGGATCCTGTTCAACTGCCTCAGGGCCTTCTTACTTCACCAGCCATGAGACTTCTTCCCCAGTACTTGAGAATGACTCATAGGTGTGTTTATGCAAGCACCACTAGTGCTTGCAGTGACCTGGATGGTTGAAATGTGGTGTGTAGTAATTCTGTAGTCAGATCACTATGTTTCAATGGACCTGAATGGTTTCTTGCTGACCCAAAACACTAGATGTGCAAGGGGCTCCCTCCTTTGGTGGACAAAGCACAAGATGCAGTTTTGGGTGAGCATTTGACTGATCCTATTGCTGTCAGCTCTATGAGATCAAAGTAAAAAATGCATGCCACTCGTGCCCAGAACATCAGTTGTTTTTGCATACTGAAGTGCAACCAGTGCCTTTGCAGCATCATGGATTGTTTGGCCCTTGAGGTTTCTCTGTTTAAGAGCAAATGTCATTGCATGTTTGATCTGATTGAGCTCATCATCATCATCATGCTTGGGATTGATCAGTTTGCCAACATTGTTACTTTCTACCATGATATTGTGCATGGGCATGGTCAACAAAAGGCTGAAGTCTTGAGTGACAAACTGACAGATGACATGGGGAATTACAAAGTAGGTTAGGTACTGCAAAAGTGAGAGAGGCTGAAAAGCATCAGTGGACATCATTGGTGGAAATAGCTGGAGTAGTGTGTGCATAACAATTGCAGTGCCTTTCAAGCCATAGCTGTGATGTCATCAGTTTTAAATGTTTTCAAGGAACATAATGCAGACTACTTACTATCTGCAGCATGAGTTTTCCCATATTGCTGAAGACATTGGAGGGACATACATTTGAGCAAACTGTGCTAATGTGTAATGATTCACTTCAAGGTCAGCTTCAAAACAGGTCCAGAGCCAGAGGTTCTTGTGTGCTTCCACATCAAACAAGAGTTTCTTGAGTTCATCATACATTTCCAAAATGTGAGAGGGAATATCTTTGAACTTGATTTTCATGGCTGGCCAACCTTTTGCCTCTGCATCCTTGAGGGCTTTGAGCTGATGGTGCTCTCATTTCATTAAAATACAGATATCCATCTCCAAATGAATATTGGTCTTCCTTTCCTTGATGAGGCCAATGTAGGTGGACAAGGCAGTCTTGAGCTGGTTGGAAATACTGTTGGGGATAGCATCTTTGCAGTCCATTCCAGGACACATCTTTAGCAGCTGGTGACTTGTGATGGGACAGTCATCAGTGGCAGTGAGGTTGTGATAATCAGTGTCATCCTTGTCCTCATCCTCACTTGGAGGCAATCTCACATTCATGATCTTGATAGAGTGTCCTACAGTGGTCTGTAATGCTGGTGTCAGTACAGGTGTGTCATTAGCCCACATAGAATACCTTTGAATTTGAGGGTGCCTTGGTTGCTTGAGCATTCTGCTTTGGTGAGTATGACTGAACATCAGGTAACACTTCCTACACTGTCATTGAGCTTGCTATACTCCTTTGCCTTGGGGCCAGGCTTGGCCATTACTGCCTTTTGCTTTTCAGCAATGTCAGCTCACTCCCACTACTGTTTCTGCAGATGAAGTTTGCTATCATCTAGTGAGATGAGAGAGAGAGAGAGTTAGTGACATATGAGGTCTGATCTGTGAAGCTCACCCAATAGTCACCCAGAGGGCTTGGACATCTTGCTATGCTTAGTGTGTTCCAGTGAGGCTGGTGTGATGGATTTTCTCTTGACTGGTGCCAGATTATTGTCTTCATCACTTTCACCACCATGCTCATCTTCTGATACTTCTTTGCACTTTTTTTTTTCAAGGATGACTTGGATGTTCATTATGATCTATTACAATGGTCCATAGATGATTAGTACATAATAAATCATCTATGCTACTCACCTGATGATCTGCATGTGCCAGACTTGGATATCTTGCCACATACTTCTGAGGCTGGTAGGTTTGTAGACTTTCTCTTGACTGGCACCATGTCATTGTCTTCATTGTCATCATCACTGTTGTGCCCATCTTCTGATGGGTCTTCACTGATGTCATTGTCACTTGCTTCACTCAGGCTATCTGTTTCTGAGTGCAGACAATCAAAGTCAATGATGGATGCATCCTCATTAGCATCCCAAATATCTGATTCTTTGTCACCACAAATCTCTTCTGCTTTTTGTTTCCCAATCCTGCACTGTGTTTCATATAGTTGCAATGGGTCCTGGGGAATCAAATAAAATCATTTATTGCATCATGCACCTCAAGGTTTGATGTAGCTTTCTTCTCTAATTGCAAACTATTGCACAGATATTGTGCCAATAGACCTCACACTGGCCACATGTTCTCGTATTTCTGGAATATCTTGTATTCTAATTGTGCCTACATAGAGATTATAATGCATATATGCATATATATGACAATGATGTACCTGAAAAATAACTTTCTCAATGAGTAGCTTGTTTTTTTGCTGCATTATCATTTAACTCATATCAAGTTTCTGGTTTGTGAGTTTGCAAATACCATGCTACTTTTATCAGCAAGATCAGTATCACATATGAAAAAAAATACAACCTTTAGGTGATTAAAGAATTCCTTCTTCTTTGAGAGGCCCATTGCTTTGACAATGCTGTAGCCCTTTCCATCACTTCATCCTGGGCAGCCCTTTGGTCAGGGAATCAAATCCTTACTACTACCATTTATCAAGGAGTCCTGTTCTCTATTAGTCTTCTTTTTGCAACAGTCCAAGTAATCAACATGCTGGTTTCTTATGTATGAAGATAAATGCAATCAATCATTCAGATGGCGCACAGCACAAGATCTGACTTACAAGTATATGAGTCCAATTGTTCTTGTAGGGAAGCAATTGCTTGACTGATGGTTGATAGCTGCAGTGCTTGCTTCGCATTATATGGTTTGGGTGCTTTGACCATTGTGAATTAGGAACCATTAGGGGTGGAAAGGGAAGATGTGAAACAGCTCGTGAGGTAGGTCACATGATAGTCATGTGCTCAGACAACATGAAAATTCTGTGAAGTCTCTAAGTCTCTAAACTGCACATACAACTTCTGTGGTGCTGTCATGATGCAGCACAAGTGCAGGGTGAAGACTTGTCCTGGTCAAAACTATCACAAACAGTGTCATTGTCTCCCAACATGTGGAAAAATTCTTAGCCTCAAGCAGCAGTGCTGGCATTACAGGGACCTAGCAAACAATGGCCTTGTGGGGCAGATACAAGCACCAGAGAGCATTCCATCAGACTTGGATGCAGAGCAGGATGCCACTGCAGCTGAAGTCTCAGGTTTGTGTCCCTGTAATTGCCTAACCATCTTGCAAGCTAACTGATCAGATATCTTTGTCAGATAATGGCAACAGTATTGCAGACTCATCAAGTCCTGATCCAGAATTCTCTGATGACAATGATGATAGATCCTCAAGCTCAAGCTCACATGTGGAGCCCTTGGTTGTGCAAGATGAGGAGTTTGGTCCCTGGGATTGGGTGGAGGACTGAGACTTGGATGAGGAGCTTTGGAGCATGGAGGAGCTTATGGATACACTAGAGTGCACTGAGAAACAAAAGGTTGCAGAGGAATTCTTTGAAATTTGTAAGTAAAAAATGTCTGGTTTGTCAACTGTTGTAACTGAATTTTGTGATAGGGAATGACGTCCTCTCTGACAGTGACAGTGACAATATCTGAGCATATAATTTGCTTGTGAGGGGAAGGATTGCACAAACTGCATTCAAGCAAATGTGTTGGGTGTTCCATCACAAAATCAACCTCAACTCTGAATATGTTATCTTCAAATGCATTGCATGCCTTGCAGCCATCACCACAGTCAAGTACAATTGTTGCCCCGAATCATGTATTCTCTATGCTGGGAAATACTGACAGCTCCTCATTTGCCCACATTGTCATCAGCCACAGTTCACACCTAATTGAAAGCCCTGCTGTCACTTCACATATTTTCCTCTTGTCCCACAACTCCAAGGGCTCTTCCAGAGCCCTCAAATGATCCACCTGATGGACTATTGAGTGAGCTACAAGTCAACCCCTGGCAGTATCTCAGATGTTCTCAATGGCACTCACTACAGGAAATTGGTAGGGGAATACATTGAAGTGGATGGCAAAAGGCTCTTGCATTGTTACTTTTGTGATCACTATGACATCGCACTCGCTCTCTGCACTGATAGCTATCTGTTGTACAAGAGTAATCGAGGCAGACCAACAGTGACACCAGTTATACTGCAAAACTATAATATTCCACTGACTCAACACACTCATCACAAACATTTAATCTGTGTTGGGATCATTCCCAGTCCAAGGCAGCCAAAGGAGCTTTCATCTTTCCTCTCACCTTTCAATGATGAGCTGGCCAAACTTGCATATGGAGTTCTGACATTTGATGCTGACAAGAGGGTCTTGTTTGACCTACATGCATACATCATCTTCAAACTGGGAGACATCCTTGCAATCCAGAAATTCCTGGAAATCAAAGGCCATAATTCCATCTTTCCATGCCAATCATGCAAGATAAAGGCAGTGAATGGTTTAGGGAAGACTCACTACACCATGCTGCAACCCCCAAAGAACACCCCAAACCCCCTTATCTGGGATCCAGAACATCTCCCAATGCACACCCACCATGATTTTATCTCTACTTTCAAGAACAGTGGCAAGGCACCATCAAAGGCTGCAAAGGGAAGGATCATGAAGAAGACAGGTATTCATGGCTTACCTGGACTGTGTAGAGTTGCTTCACTGGATTATGCATGCTCAGTGCCCTGGGAGTGGTTTCACCTCCTTTTGGAGAATGTTATCCCAAACCTCATCAATCTATGAACTGGACAGTTTGAAGGTCTTGAATCCAACACTGATGAATTTATGATCACAGCAAAGGTGTGAGAAGAGATCACACAAGAATGATGGCTGCTGTGCAACATATACCCACAGCATTCATACTAGTTCTAGGAAACATTGCCATGAATTGCTCACAATTCACAGCTGATTTGTGGTGCTTCTGGTTCTTGTATGTTGCACCCATCTTACTTGAAAATTGGTTTCTGAATCAGAAGTACTATGTGCATGCATGTGAACTCAGTGCATTGATGCAGCTCATGTTATGGTTTCACATGATGGAGGAAGAAGTGGGTGACATCAAAGTATGGTTACAAAAATGGGTACAAAAATATGAAAAGTTAGTGTTTTGTTTTTTTGCCTTTGATGCCAAGTGCAACAGCAATACTCATAAATTCTTTTTTGTTTGCCAGGTATTATTATCAGTACTGCATCGAATGTCTGCCAGCATGCACACTCACCATCCATGGTCTACTTCATGTCACTGAGGGAATCTGTTACTGTGGTCCAGCTTGGACAATGTGGAGCTTCTTCATGGAGAGGTACTGTGGGACATTGCAGTGATTGATGTGATACCAATGCCAGCCATGGAGCAACTTGAACAACACTTTACTGCACTCCATCATACTTGAGCAGCTTTCTGTGCACTATGATGTTTTGGCTGAACTTGCTTTGTGGGACAACCATGGAGATGATGGACCAACAGCATTTGAATGTGTATTTGAGGGATGTAAGTACCCATCATTTCTGGTTCATGACATGTAACTGAGTGCCACCAACATCAGACCCCAACCATATCATTTGCCCTCCATTCAAGAGGGTCACTCAGCAGGATCCTTCACTTCAGCAAAAGATCACTCAATATGTGGCTCAGGTATTAGGAAAGCGAGAGAGCAAGGTAAAAATCTGTTTGCCACTCCCAACCCTATTCGCTAGAAAGCTTCAGATACATGGAGGTGGTGATTTCTTCTGGACAGCAGCTGTCTCACGTAGACCAGCAGCTCCAGCGAGGAGGAACTGCTATGTCAAGGTGTGCTTGATATCACTAATACTACACAGTCAGTTTAATGACATCATATGTGACCAGTATGAAGTAATTCTTGAGGCACATAATCATCATTTGGTTCAAGTTATCAGGTATGGTGATCTGGAGAAGATATTCATGCTCATCCTGCCACCAAACAAATTCTTTGCCTCTCTGAGTGGCAAGACACTTGTCCTTGCTCTTATCACACCATGGAATACCAAAGGAAAGGATGCCATGAGTGAGAACACTTACTTGTTGTCCCACTGTGCAACAATTGTCACTGATGTGCGAAGCTTAAAGGCTGTGGTGGGCTTGGTTCCTGTAGGTAAACAGTGGGGTATCATTGATTGAATGTCAGCAGCATATGCATGAGGTTTTGCAGATATGGGGACATGGGAGGGCACCCCAGAGGAGAACAAGAATGAGATGGAAGATGTAGATGAGCTTTTTTACACTTGACACTGATTGTCAATGCTATGACACTGATTTTCCTGACTGACATTGAAAATCATACACACAATTTACACTGACACTGATTTTTAGTGATTTTACTTGACCCCATGTAGTCCATTTAGTCACAACATATAGGTAGCCTGCATGCCACAATGCCAACACTTGTATAGACCCCATGATGGGCCCATCTAAATAGATTAGCCATGACACATGGACAGGCCTGAGGGCCTATAGTGAGAGCAACATATGTACAGGCCCATAAGTGCAATTCCACAACATATGGGAGGGCCTGTAGAGGGTAAGGATGCTGCAACATATAGACAGGCCCATGACCAAGTAAGTATGCTGAGCTACTGTAAGACATGGATGGGCCTGTCCATGGTAGGGTGCACCCCAGTCACAATATCAGGATGGGCCCACCTATTGTATCATGAATGTCACAACATATGGACAGGCCCACCTGTCATATGCTTTATAGGGCCACAACATAAAGAGGGACCCCTCTATGATAGATTACAGAGTTGGCAACGTATGGAAGGGCCTGTCTTTGGGATAATATACCCCTGTCACAACATATAGACAGGCCCATTGTCACACACCAAAGGTGTTTGGTGAGGTGGACATGGATACAGCTGATGAATGGAGATGAAGACCATAGCCCTCATGCAAAGAAGGACAGCCAGAAATGTCAGCAGTCATCCCTTGCACAAGAATGGGTCATCAGTGCCAAAGAAAAAGAAAGGGAGTGAGTTAAGCACTGGTTAAAGTTCTTAAGTGCCTGTGTATGGCATTCCAGTTTTTGACATATCTCTGCCATTTCTGCAGATACTGAGACCATTCCCACACTTGCTTGTAGTGCTCAGCCACATGACCCTACCTTCCAAAATTGGAAAGGATTTGCACACTCCACACATTTCTACAGCACTCCCTCCAGAAGATGCTCATTTTGCTAGTTCTTCTGATATGGCTGCCTCCACATCAATCATTTTGCTTGTCCCCTTTGCTAGGGACCATGGCTACATATATCCACCAGGAGTTCCTACCAGCTTCCATCCTGAAGCATCCTGGTACATCCCACCCTTGTCTGCACCCTCTCAGCCCATCCAGCTTGGACAGCATGTTCTTTTTGTCAGTATGACCTCTAGGAGGATGTTCTTTAGTTGCCTCAGGTCTTTCATTTGCTTGGAAAGGTCTTATGTGGTTGTTTCAGTCTCTCCAGTCCAAGAAGCATATGGATCCTTCCTCCCTGCTCCCTGCAATGTCTTCATACCAGTCTCATCCATCATTCTTCCAAGATTGTGACAGCTACAGTATAATCTACTGTTCTCCACTCCCCCTGATCACATCCATGATGAGTATGATGCACATTTTGCCTCCTTGTTGCAAGATACAGCAGAAGACACTCCCCCTTCATCCTCTCTTCCAACAGAGTGTCATTCATGAAGTTTTATTTGCTTCACTGAGAGGATGGTTTGGGGGGGAAAGTTGCGATCCCCTATGCTCCTGTCACCCCACAGACCCCCAAAGCTTGACCCCTGTTGACATCTGACTCACTCTGTCCACTTTTGGATGTACTTTGTCAGCATCAGATCAGTGCTGCCTCTCTGTCATCCCACCTTGGCCTAGAAGCAATCTCTTTGAGATGTGACATGCACAGCCTCCCCCTAATGCAATTCCAGTGCACTTTCCCAGTTCCTGACATTACTTGACTCATACTTTGATGTTGTGACTGTCTTTGACTCACCTATTGCCAATACTTACCAATCTTTTGACTTTGCTCACTGATCCTTTGCCTTTTGGCTTGCTTATCCTTACCAATGCTTACCAATGCTTTCCAAGATGATTACCCATTGCTTACATTCCTTACTCATCAGTTACCAATCACTTACCAAGTGTTTGCACCTTGTTTTCCATGGGCAACACCCCTGTACTGTATATAAATCACTGTACTTAGATAGCAAAAAAAAGAAGAAGAAGACATCAGAGAGCCCCTCTTGCTTGCATTTTTATCATCACTCAGTAATTCATTCAGCAGCTTCAATAGTTGAGACTTTATTAAGGGTCTAACTATTGTCTACTTCGCTTATCCTTGTCTATCATCAATATACTTCACTCCAAGTCCTCCCTGAGCTCAGTGCAGCTCAGAGCATTGAATTAAGTCATCATCCATCCTTCTGTAGGCTGACAGCAGTCTACCCTATTGCATTCTCTTGCATTCCTGCTCCTTCTTCATCAGGAGCACCCCCAACCCTCAGCACTTGTCTTTGAGTGTTATAGCTCACAAAAACCCTCCAAAAGAACAGGTTCTACCATCTAGGTACTGCATAGGCACACCACCACTCACTCTTTTTGTCTTTTGTGTTGGTTTTGGTTGGTTTTCACCACTGAACCACACTTTGACTCACACCATCTGTAGCAAGATGTACACCTGTTGCAACATAAGGATGGGCCTGTCAGTAATATCATTGACAGCACCACAACACAGATGGGCCCATCTAGCAAGATGCATCCCTGCCACAACATAAAGACAGGCCCATCAGTAATGTCATTTATAGCATCACAACATATGGACAGGCCCTTCCATAATACCATTTATACCATCACAACACATGGGTGGGCCCATCCATAGTAAGATGTACCTGTTGCAACATAAAGACAGGCCCTTCAATATATATCATTTACAGGGTCACAACACATGGATGGGCCCATCTAGTAAGATGCACCCATGTCACAACATAAAGATGGGCCTTTCAGCAATATCAATTACATGGTCACAACACATGGATGGGCCAATCAATAGCAACATGTATGCCTGTTGCAACATAAAGACAGGCCTGTCAGTAATATCATTTACAGTGTCACAACACATAGACAGGCCTGTCTAGTAAGATGCACCCCTGTCACAACATAAAGATGGGCCCATCAGTAATATCATTTATAGCATCACAACATATGGAAGGGCCCTTCAGCAGTATCATTTATGTGGTCACAACATAAGGATGGGCCCTTTGGCAGTATTATTTATATGGTCATAATGTATGGACAGGCCCTTCAGTATTATCTTTTATATCACCATAAAACAAGGACAGGTCCATCTAGTAAGATCCACCCCTGTTGCAACATAAGATGGGCCCAACACCAATAGCATGTATAGCATCACAACATATTGATCAGATCACAGTAAAATATTGAGGCAAGCATCCCAACATGCCATAATTTTCCAACAAGCTGCAAGCGGCTTGCCTGCTATACAACTCTGACCTCATCCACCCCAAGCATGAATACTATGCAAGACATGTCTAAAACCCCCCATGGATGGCAAATGGAACTAATAGACTGCATTGCATCATACATGAAAGCCAGATTTCAAGAGGAGGTATTCAACAGACCTTGTGCCCTTCCAGATATATCAATTCCATTTCTGGTATTATGTGAAGTGGATCACATATCATCAGTAATCTCACAGGCCTATTGTTGCCCAAGTAAGTCCATCATAATGGTGTGATGGAAGTTTTCATCTTTCCACAGTCAATGTTGGGAAAAATCAGGGTGGAAAAACCTGCAATGCAGAACCTGCTGAGAGATACACAGAAGTGACTGAGCCATCCATTCTGGTTACCAACTCAAACACCATCTGCATATGGTATTTGCTGGACACTCTCAGCCCAAAAAGAAGGGTAAGGAAATGCAGAATCTTGTATTCTACTGACTTAATGGAATGGCAGGCCAACATATGGAACTGCCTTCATCTTCTGAGGGAACCACTGTGGGAGAGCATAAAGGCTTCCCCACAGGCATGGCAGACAGACAGGTCATATTTCTGCAATAATGCTGAGTTGAAAGGCACCATCAACCTGTCACCCACATGGTTTCAACAGGGTCATGGGGTGGGTGATCATTTCTTGCCTTGTGAATAAAGTGCTCATCTGTCTTGATGCCCCAAAATGGCTTCCCAGAAGCCTCACAGCTGCTCAAATCCAGGATGGAAAACACTTCTATAAGGGAATGGGTTGACCAAATGTCTGACACCAATGCCCTGTTATCTGCAATCCTGCATGTCATCCATCCATGAATGTATGCAGATGGCAGGGAAGCATTGATCTTCCTTGGCAAACAGGTGGAACAGTGGGCAGATTCAGATATGAGCTCCATACTGCTGATATGGAGCTCCATGTATAGCAGCATGTCCATGATGGTGAATCAGGCAACTTGTTACCACAGGGATATCAATGGACAGGATCCATGGTATGACATGCTGGTAATGGTAGGTGACTACCCACCCTTGGACTTTGTCATTCCAACATTGAATCTGCAGCTGCACTACAACCCAGGGACAATCATTGCATTTTCAGGTTCAGCATTGGAGCATGGGGTGGGAGCTGTAGATGGTGACAGAGCATGCCTGGTGTACTACATGCATGCCAATGTACATCAGTTGGTGCACATTCCCATGTGTCAATCACTGTGGATGGACGACCTACTACCTAGACCAGTTGCAATTGGAGAACTGTTGATTTGAAGCTGCAAAATTTAATGTAAGATTTAGTAGGTGATGTGGATCTCATATTTTATTAGGATATTCTGGCTCTCAAACTTTGGACAGGTGGTGTTGCCAAGATTTTGCAAATGGGCAGGTCCTTCAACATCATAGATTGGGTGGGTACTCAGAGCTAAAGGGTGTGCATCATAAACTGCAACAAAAGTAAATCTACTCAGGCCATCATGCAGATGGGCAGATTGTCAGACATCATGTGAATGGGCAGTATCTCATAAATGATCAACATTCACAGCAATATATATGCAACCAACTCCACAGTCAAAAACATGTAAACTATTGAAGCAGCATGCCCAACAACCTGTGCAATGCCCACCACCTAGCATAGAAATGGTTGATTTGTCAACCCCAACCATTGACAACATCAGCATATTTCCAAATATTTTTGATGCAGTAGTTTACCTGCTCCTTGATATGGCCATCAAGACAGTTTGCAATTGGCACCTCAGGCAATGGCCATAACCCCTGGGCCATCATCAACTATTTGCAGTGACAAGAATAAGTGGCATACCTTAAAAAAATCCCAGGCCACAGAAAACAATCCCTTGCCTTGCAATCTTTGGGAATCTGCTGTGTATTCCTTGGAACAATATAGCCACCAAGGGAATGCAAAGCCAGAATTGGGATCAGCTGCATGTGGGGTCCAATGTGGGACAATGGCACTGATATTGTCAATTATGCAAAATGTGCTAAGGAGAATTAGCTGCATTTGATCACAGAAGCTAACCTCATCATCTTGGTGTCTGAGGTACACATGGTAGCATGCTGGGAGGGGAGGAGTATAACTGGCATGCAACAATGTCACCAGAATCAAGCTATTAAGCTGATTCTGAAGGAATTGAGTATCAGTCCCACATTGTGAAAAATTGATGTAAAACCTACCAAGTCCATTGCTAGGTTTGCAAACCAATTTGTGGGCCATCCCACAATATTGGCAGTCTGCTTCAGGTGTACAGAGGCCACCTTGATCCAGCATGCCAAGTAGAGGATACCCATCTCTACCACAGACTGGTGAGATGGGTGTGATTGGCTGGTGATGAATGGCTCAGGACAATTTTCAAAGGCAGAATGTGGATAATGAATGACTTCCATCAAACCAAGCATATTGATGAGTTGAAGGCCCTGAGAGGCTGCACCATACTGGTCCCTTGCAGTTGTGCCCAATTCTCTCACAATGGCATTTGCAGCCTGCACAAGGTGCCTATCAAGGGTGGGATTGAATGGCATGTTGCTGGGAGTGGTGTTTCTGTGGTAGCAAGATACTGTGGCATGTAAGGCATGCAGGACTAAAATTATCAATGTCAATGGTGTATCAGATTAAGCTCATGCCCATACCTTGATCACAATGTGGAACAGGTGCCAATCCCCATTGTTCCATTTGAAGAGATTGCTATGTGGATGGAAGTTCACCTACATAATCAATGGATATCACCAATCACATGAATAGAACCAAATAAATGCTCACCATTGCATATTTCTTTGAAAAGATCCTTCATCTCTGATCATTTGGGCATGCCAAAACTCAAACAGTTTGCACCATTGTCCTCATCTGCTGCCAAGTCAAAAGATTTGACAGGTACATTTGAAACAAGCAGGGGAGGCATTGGTTCCCTCATATCCTGCAATTGAGCAAGCAGGTTAGTCAGAGAATCAGGTCAGGGGAGATTGGTCCCTCAGATTTGATGATTCATGGGTGATGGGCAGAGGAGACAGTTCCCACACATTCTGCAAGTCTGCCAGAAAATCGACCTGCATAATAACATCTTGTGCAGGTGTTGAAGACCCATCCATCCTGTTTAATTTCTTGTGTGTGACTGGTGGTGCTGTTGGTTCCTGCACATTCAGCAATTGCTTGAGTAGATCCACATTCATACCATCCACTGGGGGAGCAGTTGGTTCCCATTCATTCAGGAACTGATTCATCAAGTTGTTGTGTGGATCTATTACTAGAAAATTTGTTTGTTTGTTAGCTTGAAGGGCAATTGTGCCAACTCACCAGCCATGATTCTGCCCTCTGCCAGAGTGGTTGGCTCCCTTTCCTGCAGGAACTGATCCACCAAGCTTTCGCATGAATCTACAGCAAAAGAACATTTGTTGTTGAACTTGGAGAGAAATCATGTTCACTCACCAGCTGCAATATCCATGTTTGACCCCACCATATCTGCCCTTCCACTTGAGACAATTGGTGGAGGGGTTGGCTCTCACAACTCATGCAGTGGTACTAGCCTCTCCTCTGGATTTTTGGACTGCTTCATGCTGGAGCTAGATTGCCTTGGCTTGATTGGTCTTACATTAGCTGTGGATGGCTTAGGTCACTGGATCCAACAATGAAGACAACCTCACCTTGACAACAGAAATGAACTTGGTGGGACTGTTTGGTAGACATATTCAATGATGATGGGTTCACTGATAGGTTGATGATCAATCAAGATTTAAACTTGTAGGAACAATGGCAAGAATATCATTCACACTGTGGGAAGCAAGGTTGGACAATGGCAGATGGAGCCAAATTTTGGGTAACAGCAATACATGGGAGATGAGCAGCAATATCTCCCTACATAGATAGCTACCAGTCACTTCCACATGGCCAATATGTAGACCTGTCCTGCTCAGCTCTCCACTCAATTGTCCTGCTCAACTGTCCCACTTAACTATCCCTCTCTCTGATATCAAAGATGCCTCTCACAACCACCATGGTGTCATGAGCTACCATACATGCCATACACTTGTATTCTAATGTGTCACACTAGGCTAAGCCCTCTATAGACCATACACAAGTTCCAAAAAAGGTTTCCACTCTGACTGTTTGAGGGATTTAACAACTACTTCTGCTTCTGATTGCTGCCTGTTTGCTTGCACAATCTCTTTGCGTCAGGAGATGGAACATCTGCATCTGGCCATGCAGGGGCCTTTCTGACACAAGGTGACTTCCAGGTGCTCCCAGGGACACCCTGTTTTACATTCATGGATGCTGCATTGGTGGTCACAGATCCATTATTGTTGGACTTGGATGAGTATTTGGCCCCAGGTTGACATTGATTTATGTCTGGCCCACTTGATTCTGACAGATCCTGCTTAACATACAGCACAAACTTGTTAGCCATAACAGCTGATTCAACATGACTGAACTTGCCTTGTGTGTGCGCTTCAGGGCAGATTTCAGCTTTCTGCCTTGTTTTCTGCTCATTGACCCCTCCTCAGTTGGGTGGTCAGTGAAAGGAATGCTCTCCAATCCATCTTCATCTGTGTATTCTGAGTGGTCCCATAGTTCAGTTGTGTACTCACTCCCTGAGTGCAGATCAGGGTTTGCTGCAAATACAAGTTACAGTGGGAAGCTCACTATTCAGGGATGTTGCTGATTTCTTTGAATTGGATAGGGTGGGCACATAAGTGTCTTCATCAGCTTCATCATTGGAATCATGGCTGTTGCTTTCCCTCCCATTATCATCAGTTAGCACTTTATTTTGTGGACAATGCACCAGGGTCTTTGCATGGGCTGGAGGTGCAGAGGGCCACTCACTATGGGAACCATCAGCTGGTGGGGGATTTGAGTGGGAACAAGAAGGGAATTGTGTCTTGGCATGGTTTTGCCTCCCACCAGATTCCTGAAGACCAGAATTGCATTAGTGCTGATCTGTCATGCATGAAAATCACACATGGAACACCTTTTTAGTGGAGGGACCATTTGTTCCAACATCACTTGCCTCAGCCTCACCATGATCATCTGCACTGTCATCTGCACTGTCATCTGCACTATCATCTGCACTATCATCCATGCTATCATCCACCACTCCCTCTTCCTGCACTTTACCCTTGCCCTTGACATTTTTCCTTCCAGGATTCTTTTTGCATTTGGGGGCTGGTGTCTTTTGGTATTTCTGCTGCCTCACAACCTGGAGGGGTACCAAAGTTCTATCCACCAGTGGCTGCAGCTTGCCAGATGAATCAATCCATTTCTGAAATCCAAACACATCATTTGGATGGGATTCCTGTCACTTGTGCCAAAAGGACAGCAGCTGGGTAGCTGTTGTTGTCCACATGTGACTTGGGTCATGGTCAAAGGTAAATCTGAAAGGAAGATGGTGGGCTGCTATCATTTCTGCTTGATGATGACTGAAATTCTTGAATGGCACTGCTGATGAGGGATTTCCACATGCTAATCCTGATAGCACTCATCAGAGATTGAGGACACTAAATACTCTGGCCACTCATGGTAGTGAGCAGTCACAAATCCACAAACTATTTTTTGTAGTTGGTCCTGGCTAAGGCCCACAATTTCTCCTATCCAAATCTCTCCATCAGCATTTTTCACCAATTTCATGGAGTCAACCTTGCCCATCCTCATTGCTTTGGCTGCTGTCTTTTTCTGAGCACATTTGGGACTTGACTCACCATCACACTCAGGCAGTGTTCCTGGTTCCTCAAATGTTTCCCCAAGGTACTCTCACCAGCTTCCTTCCAGTGTGCAGACATCATTGAAGGGGATTCCATCCACAATTTTGTTATTGAAGTCCATATGCTCATTGCATGAGTCTTACCTAGGCCTAGAGGAGAATATGGTGGACTCATATGCATGCCTGTATAGTTCCCTCATTTTCCCACCCGGCCATACACACTATGCACATTCCACAATACCTCCACATCTCCATTGCAAAGTTTCAGACATACTTGTACCCATACTTGGTGTCAAGTCCAGGCCTACTCTGACCAACTCTGACACTGGACGAGGTCTGGGAAGAGGTTCAGAAGCAAGTCCAACAGAAAGAACTGAACTCTGACTGGCAAAGTGTTGTCAGGAATGAAGTCCACTGAGATAAAGGCAGAGCAGAGTGAGGGCATTGGGTTCAGCTCATGCACTACCCCCTTGCATGATCTCAGCCCTTGTATTTCAGAGGGAGAGTACAGACAGACAGACAGAGGTAACTCTGATGGACAGAAGATGGAGACAGAGGGAGTAGGAACTAAGTTGATATTCATACTGCAGAACAGTGGAGTATGATACATGCTTTTATACTACTACAGAGGTACAGTAACTGGAATCAGAACTGACATACAGAGACTCATAAAACTTCAAGTAAAATTTCCTAGACAATGAATGAAGGGTATATGGAGGACATAT